GTTCAGCAGATCTGTAAGAGAGGCAAGTGTCTTAGTGAGCTGCAAAAATCAACTATGAAATTATTGCAGCTTTTAGGGATCCTGCTCAATGGCAAGGGCCTCCTGTACTGTACTGTACTGTACCGCATGGGGCTCCACTCCAAAAGACACGTGGTCATTTTAAATTGTGCTGATTTTAATTCGGCAGCCTGTGAAATGAAGTGCCTAAGACCAATAATTTGCGTACACCTTTGTCAACTTCAAAAGGCTGTGTGTGGTTAATCCACTCATTTGTCAGGGGAAGTCACATTGATTAGACACTAGCTTTCTTGTATCTTGCTGGACTGGTGGAAATCACCATCACATACAGAAGTGCTAAAGGAGAACTCAGAGAAGGGGCTGCTTCTGCTCCCTCCTCCGTATCTGGATACCACTCTCTCTGCCATGTCTACATGTCTGCCATATCCACATCCAAAGAAGTCTGGGCTGTCCAGTTGAAAAAGCTGGACTCTGTCAAATCTGTTTACTGCAGCTGTTGTCAGAGTGTATCAAGGAGCTGTTCAGATGTCCTTGAGAAGGAATTTCGAACTGAAAAATACTCTTCAGTCCCTCAATGGGCTCAGTAGACAAGCACTTACCCCTCAGGGCTTCTGGGTCCCCCAGGATCCTGTTCAGTGTTTCTCGTGGGATCTTCTCAAAGGCTTCGTTGGTTGGAGCCAAGAGTGTGTACTGGCCCTCGCTTTCCAGCAAGCTGTTGAGGTCAGAAGCAGCCACAGCAGCCTTCAGAGAAATAAGGAGAGAGGGTAAAACACATTCAGCCAGAACACAAAGGTCAGCAACTTTGTCCAGGCACACACTAAGGGCCAGATTTATTAAGGCTTTTATAATTTCAGAGGACTTGCAAAAAATCCTGAATAGCTTCTTTCAGCACTTTGGTCCCTTATAAATTTGACCCAGCCCCATGGTTCTCTTGTGTTCCAGAAATTTGAGCACAAGAGCCCTTTTTTGGCAAGACTGAGAGCTAGTTCGAATACCCTGATATGCCTGGAAAGGGTCACAGTAGTTCCAGTGAATAATTCAGATCAGAACCCACAGCTGGCTAACTGAAAACCTCTGTGCTTTTGAAGTTATTCCTTAACTTGGCAAATGCCAAGGCAAATAAATTGGCACTCATCAAATCTGAACAGTTAATATCTCCTAAGGCTAAGACTCACAGAGAAGAGTGAAGAGACAGACTCAGTCTGCATCTCTTTACTGACAGCAATAGCAGGGTGACAATTATTCTCATAAAACCCTACTTGCGTTGATATCAAACACTTCTCTTCCTACAGCAAAATGAGCTATATTGGTACAAGGATTTTATCAGCAGCGTTTGAGTCACAGCACCTGGGCACTCGCAAGCTCTTCATGACAATTCACTGGGAGTGGGATGACTGAACATCTTTAAGGAGCCCTGCAGCACACGTGGGGTGGACTCACCCGAAGAGTTTCCAGGCTTTCCTCAGTCTCGATGATGTGCTGAATGCTGTTTGTAGTGGTAGCGATGACTTTGTCGATGACATGAACCACTCCGTTGGTGGCATGGTGGTCGGCTTTCAACAGCCTGGCACAGTTCACGGTCACGATCTGCAGAAGGAGAGAGCCACAGGGTGTTATGTGCACTAAAAGAAGAAGGTAAAGCAGCCTCTGCTGGTTTTCTATTTCAAACACAGTGAGTGTTATAATATTGAATCAGCAGGAGCAGAAATGTGGTTTCCTAAAAAAAACACACAAAGAATGAGCATGCTCTATCAAGAATGTTTGAAACATTTCATGTTTAAAGAGCTTTGAAAATAATCAGTAGTCTTGTCTACCCTGAATCATCATGACTAAGAAAATATGCAAGAACCAGTACTTAGGGAAGCATACTGTTATACAGCAATGTGGGCAAGTTCCCTGCAATAGCATCGATGAAACTATCTGCTTATAAATATTCTTTTTGAGCTCCTTCTAAATATGTATCCTAAATCAACAGTTGTCAACCTAAGCATTACAGAGTCCTGGAGGTCCCAGGACAGCGTAGGAGGTGCAGAAAAACAAGCCCACTGTGGGTGGGTCTAATACAAATGTCTTACCCCGTTGGGATAGTGGTGAATCTGGATGGGCAGGTCCTGGTACATTGAGTTAAGTGTTGTCCCATGTTTCAGATCGTCCGTGAGGACCCGTTTGTTCACCATGTGGTAGCGGAGGGCGTTGAGCAGCTCAATGTTAACATTACTGACTAAGGAATCCAGAGTTTCCTGAAAATCAGAAAAATTCATTTTTCAGCGCTGAGTGCAATTAAACCAGTTGTTAGAGAGAGCCAGGAGGTCTGGCTGCATCCAGGGTGCTTCCAAGGGGCGGGGGTGTGTGCGTGAATATTAAGTGATGTATTTAGCCTTTCACCATCTGTGCAAATTAAGAGCTCTAACTTTTGTAAATCTTTTATTTTTTGCTTACAACAGCGGCTCTGTCACCCCTCATCCCTGGCAGATGAAGGGATGATGGCAGCAAGCTCCAGAGTGGGATCACCGCATCGAAATGAGCAGTAAGGCAACAAAAGGCATCACTCAGGGCCAAGGACAAATACACCAGAAGACCTTCCCCCACAGCATCATCCCTGCAAGGGGCTCTGCTGGTGCCGGTTTGGGACAGAGGCTTGGTAGTGGGGATTGACAAAAAGATGTCCCCTCCCTGCCCCAATAGTTGTTCTTACATATTTACAGACAAGTGATTTAAATGTGGGATGTAACTGGATAGGGGTTGTACAATCGAGACTCTCCTCTGTTCACAGAGATGCTCCACTAGGATGGGAGCATCAGCAGGACAGCAGTGACAATTTCAGCAGGGGAAATTTCACAAGACACAGGGTGAGAAAATCAAAACCACTGTAAAGGAAATTTATATGTAATTGGGCATGGGCACACTCTGATGCAGGAAGGCTGAAGGTTTACCAAGGCTCCAGTTGGAACTGGCTACTTGTAGAAATTAAGAACAACCAGAGTGGTAAAGTTAGGGTCAACAAGAAAAAATGAAGGTCTTAATGCAATCTGTAATGGTAAGAGGCAGGGGAAACTGAATGACGTGATTTCTACATCCACTTGTGGAGAGCATCCGCATCTCTCTAGTGTCGGGCTCTTTCCAGAACAAAGCTCTGGAGCTCATGGACCAGTACAGTGATTCCCATCTGGGAAATTCACAGTCCCTCCTATATCAGGACTGTGTCTATTCTGCCAGATGGGGCTGGATCCAGACCCTCGCAGAGCTGAATCTCCACTAGAGAAAGCCAGAGGAAGAGGAGAAAGAAGAGGAATTATATCTTACAGCAGGCAAGGATGCCCAGGCCTCATTACTCGGGGCAAAAATTGTAAAACTTCCAGGTCCTTCGATATCTGGCCTTAGGTTAGACCGGTCAGAGTAGAGCTGCGTGGTGGCAGACCCAACAACTCCCAGGGTTTCATAGATGTTTGAAAGCGGCAGTGCTGAAAGAAGAGAAGGTTATGTTTACAACACATCGTTCATCCTTCCCACCCTGTGCTGAATTAAAGGGGAGCTGCTGGTGAGAATGCCTGGGGAAACGAAGCACGTCAGGGAACTCGTATCTGTTCATTAATTAGATAATAAATAACCATAGCCTGACAGCTCCGGCCTCAATTACAGCAGCATAATCCAGGATCTACTGCATCTCTGCATGTTTAAATGGAGTTACTCTGGATTTATATGAATGTGAATTTAGGGAAGCAGAGATATTCATTGTTTTCACCCAATCCTTATTTGTACTCAGACTTTTGACGTTGGGAGCTGGCAGCTCACCGCTGGTCTCGGTCTCCACTGACCCATCCACACCAGCCCATGTAGTTAACTGGGCGGCATCAAACTTTTGTGGAAGGAAGTGTTCAGAAAGCAAAAGCAGAATATGTCTTTCTTCAATAAACCCAGTTAATTCCCTCCCAACCCCCACCAGCGCCTGAACTGTATTTTCTCCGAAATGCAATTTGGCTAACCTCATGCTTGCCAAAATAAAAATGAGCGGAGATTGGCAGAGCTGTCTGCTACTCTATCGTTCCTTTGTGTTGCATTTCCAATACAGCTATATCACTTGCTGGAATAAGTAGTTCCCTATGGCCCTCCCATGCTTGATTAAGTTTAATTATATCCAAGGTTTTAAGTTGTCTGGAACATTTTGCATGCTTTGGAGTTGATCTGGCACTCAGCTGGTGCTCTGCTGAGTCCATTTTTGACTTGTTCACGGCAATATTGTGCACAAATTGCAAAAATCAAATCCACTTTGAGTAATTTTCTAACATTTCCCTTTACTAGGCAGCTGTATAATCTTAAGAAGTCTAAAAAATGTCAAACATATTTTTACCAGCTGGGCAGCCTTTTTCTCCAGGAACTTTTTCATATCCAGGACAGCACTCGTAACTGATTACTCTGAAATAAGAGATGCATAGGGCAGATTAACTGACGGCGTCTCACTGCTTTTTCTCTATTTGCTATAGTTCTGGGTCCATCCATATTTGGTGATGTTTCTAAGCAGACTCTTCATTAGAAATATAGACTTGAACAAAAGACAAACCACAATTTTTATCTCCTTCAGGACTGCATGTTGCCAATTTCTCCACAGAATAAAAGCAGACACAATTTCTTTTCAAAACCACACTTTCCAGGAGACTTTGTACAAACAGTGGATGGAAACCGATGCCACAATCCCAACAGATAACCTATGCAAGACACTGCAAGTGCCGGTTCATTTGGACACATTTCCCATGGGATCTGAGGATCTCCCCAGCTGACTGCCGCTGTCACGTCTGATCAGTCTTCGGGCAACACACAGCAACGCCGGCATGGCTGCTTTACCAAACCAGCCAAGCGTTTCCCCTTCACTCCATTCTTGTCCACCACCAGAAATTATTTGCTTACTTATGGCAAAATCCACAAGACAGACCTGGAGGGGAAGGAGCATCCCTGGTCTTGGATGTGCTGGGATAAACCCTGCAAGGACAAACTTCACGGTGGTGGCACGTGCATCCATGGGCATGCCAGGCAGTACCACAGGACAAGCATCTTCGCTAACACCGGGTACATCCCTGTGAGCATCCTCAGTGTGGTATTTCCTTCTGGCTGCCAGCAAACTGCTGCTCTCATTAAGCACTAACCCCCAGTAAAATCAAAGGGGCCAGAGACCCCACCCTGGGGACTTGGGGCCATCTTGCAGATTTGCAGACCCTAAATAAGCAAGAGCTGCCTGAATGCTGCATCCACCGTCCGCAGCTCAATGGGAAATAAAAGTCATCTGATTCTCAAAGCTGGCCGTCTGAAGGAACATGTTTTGATATTAACAGGGGAAAAAGGAAAAGGAAAAAAATCAAACCAGAAGTTGCCCATTTATTTTTCACAGGGGATGCTTTCACCTATTGCTCTTACGCTTGGTGTGAAAGGAGCAAGGCCATCTGATTGATGGGCTAAGGCAGCGAGGGAATAGGTGTTCCTCCCAAAGACAAGCATTTCCTCTGTGCTCCCGGTTGGATTTGAGACAAGTAGGATGCTGTATCGCCGAGCCTCAGCACACTCACTCAAAGAGAAAGGAAAATCCTCAAGCTTCAGATATTTGTCATCATTTTAACACTGTTAACAAACAGTGGAAATGCCTGGGGTTTAAGAGGGAATTCTTCAGGGTAATTAAGAGCCAGTAAGTGAAACAAATACCTGCTTTTCTGTGACAGAAGCAAATAAATTCTGTGTCACGGTTTCCTAAGAGAATTACAAAGCAAACCCAGACTGATTGTCTAGACATTATATATTCCATGTGGGAAAGAGGTTG